AACTGTAACTGTGGTGATGGTTGTTGATAGTATTGATAGTTTCCTTGTCCTGTGTATTCAGTTTGGTTTTTGTTTGGTTTCTGTCATTAAATTTTTATAATTCATTTCTCCTGACCGGTCTTATATTACCACCAATGACTGCAATCACCATTGCCATCATCGGTGACGACAACGGTGATAGCGGGCAGAAATAGCACACTGGCCAAAAGACCCAAGACTTTAAGCCGCTTATTTTTGAACATTTTTTACACTTTTAACGCTATAAAAACATCTCAGATTTACACAGTTTATCCATTACTTGTTACTTTTTGTTTCTTTTGCGGTACCACAAAACTAACTGTTTATGAATGTGCGATAATTACTGAAGCAATTATTAGTATTAATTGAACATCGTTGATCTAAATGTGTAAGGAAATCAAATGGAACTGTTAAAATAATAATGCGCTTTATTCATTTTTTAATTCCTAATTGATCCTTTTTTTTCCCACATTTTCTACTTTTTCAGTTTTTACTTCATCTTATTAACAAATTATTTTGGTCCACAATTTTTGTTTTTTTGTCCTATAACACATAAGTAACACATATAAATTGTTGTGATCTCTGCGAAACGGTCGCAGTGGCTTTATTTATTCATTTCCAGTTCTTGCTGTGGGCTTGCAGAAAAAATCGTTCTTTAGTTTTTATTGTCAAATCAATCTTAAACTTACGTTCAATTTGTTTCTAAATGTTGTTGAAAAGTTGTCATTGTCCTTCTGTTTCTTCATATTTTCAATTCAACTCTTTTCTGAAAAATATTAAATGAAAAGATGAATACTAAATGTAGTGAAACTATACGGTTGTTAAAGCGGCATTTATTCTTTTTTTTTTTTAAATTTTGTTGAAAGTCTAATGTTAAAAATTTAGGTATCTCTTAACCGAGCAGCAATAAAATTTTTTTGTATATATTATAGAATCAATGGATAAGGAGGAGCAAAAGGCAAAGAAGAAGAATCTTGGCGATTTCTTTCGGCTAGGACCTTACATTGGATATGTGGTGTTAACCTATGAATTTTTGCTCATCTCTCAAGTTTGCAATCTCATTTATATGTCTATAGCAGGTATGTGCTTTAGTTTATGTTATTTACATGGTTTAGGTTGAAAAAACAACGTTTGAACAAGTTATTGTTTCATACAACTGATGCTCGTTTATAGTCTATTGTTTGAATGATTTGGAAACGAAAGAGAAACCAGTATTAAATATGAAATAAAACTCTACAATCACGTTTTTTACCTTCTTTTTTTTCGTGATTTTTTTAAAAGATACGTAATACAGTAGCAGAAAGAGCAGAAAGTTGATTAAGAACGAAAATGGGAGGCTGGAGGAGGAAGAGTTCAGCGTTTGGGTTAAAAATTAAGAAAGTTTTGTTAGTTTGGCAAATAAATAGGAAAAGTACAATAATTTGTATGCTTTTGTCGTAATGTGATGATCACTTTCCTGAATCAAGTGTGAGTGTAATTTTGAAGCATTACCTCTAGTGGTCGTGCTGGCAATAAAAATTGCGAATGGGCGACAGTTAACAAAGGGAAATGAGGGTTTTAATGGACTTTTTAAAGTTTAAACTAACAAAAGTCTCATCTTTAGAGTTTTGCTTGTCTCATCGTTTTACCTGCCCAGGACTGTTGCATTCAATTTGGTTTTCAATTGGTGGTCTAAAGTTTTGTCATGGAGTGCTACAGACAGTTAAACAAAATTGATTTTGCTTTTGGTTTTGTGCAGACAAAATAACGTAGGACTCGTTTTACGAAAAGAATGGCTAGAAGTAATCGCCGAAGCTGGTATCTGAAATAGGTTCCAAGAGAAAATGTGTATACTTTTTTTTCAAAGCATACGTTTCACTTTAGCAAAGCACATTTTTCAGACTAGACATTTTGGCAGTTTTTAATGTATATGTGTTATTTGAGTATTAATAAAACATGCTCAGCTATTGATACTTGCCTTTTCCTTCGTTTTTCTTTTTCACTTTTTGTTTTCACTGATTGAAAGCAATTTTTCCCTTTTTTTTTTTTTTTTTTTTTT